CAGCAGGAGAAAAGCAAACCACGGGCTCAGATAAATTAGCTGTGTTTTTTTTTCAGCAGATATTCATTGCCAAGGAGACAACCCAGGGCTTTTCTTCATGAGAATTAAAGGTGCAGATGTAGGGACTGCTTCCATGGTCCAAAGAAGCACTCTGCAGCTATTGCGATGAATAAAGTCACGTGTCCGGAATCGTTCTGCTGAATGGAGCTGCTATTTCTTGTTTTTTTTAGCTAAACCAGAATGCAGTCTATCAGTTTCATAATATATATTTTCTATTAGGAACCAGAGTCAAATTCATGAAGATGACAAATTCCAGGCTGACTTAGTTCATTCTAAGCAATCTGACTTTTAGCTGAGACTGTCCACACTTAAAGAGTGATCACACTGCTGCTCTTCTTTGTGTTTCACTGTGTTGGCAGAGGTGCCAGAGTCCAATATGTGAGCATCTTTTTTTCAAGTAGCCAAATCACTATAAGGGGCTTTCAAGCCTGAAACTTCCCAATGACCTTAATTTACTTGTCAGATAAAAATGTCAAATGACAGACAAGTATAATTTGAAAATGTGGATTTGTTAAAAACTGACAGAGAGGCAGGTAAGTAAAAATGACGGAAATACTTATTTTTGCTTAAAGTGATCCTTCTAGAAATCAATAAAGGCACAGTGCAGTGAACAACAGATACCTAAGCATATGTGTATGCGCATACACAGACTTCTCACACAGGTAAACACTATCTAGGCAGTGAGAAGATGGCAATAAGGGACACTCAATAATTACAATTTTTACAGCATTTTGCCATTCTAACTTAAATTCAGCACGTCCCTCAATCTCTCTTTTGTTTTCTCATTTCCCCTGTTTTCTCTTAAGGTAAAGCTCAAGTTGGAAATAATAAGAGCTTTAACACATATTGTCTCTGTTTTACATGTTCATGAATCTTTTTTGTTGTTTCCTGCTTTTCTTCCTTCATTTTTCCTCTCCGTCAGCTGTGCATATTGTTATACGATCGTGCCTTTCTCCTCAGGACTATTCTTGATTATGCAAGACAGAAAAACTCAGTTTGAAAAACAATTATGACAGCTTGCAAAGCCAAGCAAGTTCCTGCAACCTTATTTCATCTCTTTGGGTGTATATATTAGATTGCTGCATTTCACTATAGAAGTACATAGCATTTTCTCCAGAATCTCATTTGTTGGACAACATGGCCAGTATTCATACAGCTAAAATCAGTATTTTATTGTCTCTACACTGTACAATGCACGGCCTCATACCTGCTGACTATGCACCACCCAAATACATCCAGTGCAGGTATCGTTACTAGTTCTGTGATCACAGGGTTGAATGTGGCTGTATTATGGATGGGGCCATACTCCATTTGACAGTCAGAGTTGATAGGCAAGGAGGTGAGGAAATGCTGGTGCGACAGCAATACGTAAACCATGAGCAGTGCTAAGACTCATAAGGGAGCTCAGTACCTATCTAACTGGGCTGGCTGTTGTCTGGTAGGATGCTTAATTCCCTCTTCCTGTCTGCTCAACAAGTTCATTTTGACAAAAATATACTTTAAAAAATGAGTAGCTTAAGACAAGGAAAAGGGAGGATTTATTACTTGCCCCAGCAGACAATGAGATAGTACACTATTATGTTTGAGTGTCAAAACTCTTCAAATACATTGTAACTACAACCCACAGGATCAAAGTGGTGATTTGATTTGAAAACTGCAGCGTGTATCATAAATGTACTGAGAAATGTTTTACCCAGATATACTCTTCACTCCCATTATGCTTCATGCTTAACTCAGATTATATGCCCAAAATGACATTTAAAGTCCCTAATTGCATCGTTCCAGCTTCCTTGCTTAACACCATGACTAGAAATCCCTTCTGCATCCAGCCTGGTGTCAATTCTGTCCCCACCATCTACTCTTTACATCCATCCCCTGTCTCCGCTTCTCTCTGGGTTCTTCACTCAAACATATGGAGGACGAGCTACACTTTCTCTGCTCTCTAGGCTGAAGGGAAATATCGCAAGGCTTCTTCTTCACTTCCTCACTAGTCAGACTGGAAGAAATGGTGCAGACATTTTAGTCACAGTGTAGGAGGATGACAGACGGAGAGAATCTTCTAGCCCTGTTCTCCTTTCTTTTCTTTGAGTAAATTTCTCCAAAATCTTTTAGAAGATTGTGTATTTGGTATAAAAGGGCTGGAAGCCCTAAAACCAGCTCATTTCTGTCTCTTAGCTACATCCTTTAGTTATTTCAGTTTGACATCTATTAGACAGCAGACCTTCCAGCAGAGTGAAAGATAAAAAAGTGACAGAAAGACAGCCAGACAGATAATAGTGAGTAGCTGTAAGACAGATAAGTGTGGATGGCAAGAACTGGAGCTCTAATAGACAGGAACTGGCTGTCAGATGGATTTACAAGGCATTGTAAACAACAGTGTTCAAGAACAATATGAAAGAAAAATACAAAGTCCAATTACGGTAACCTTTACATTTTCAGAAGTGCTGCGAGATGATGGGCTCCAATCTAAGGGGGAATGTGGGAAAGGGAGAAGGCAATGGAAAGGAAATCTTAAAAAGGACTTTTAAAAGGAAGATATAAGGCCATCACTAGCACAAGAATGTAAACACTTCTGGTATGTATTCACTTGAAAAGCCTTCTTCCAAGTGTTGCCCCCTACATTAGCTTCCTGACCAGCGGATGAATGGACAGCCTGTGCAAGTAGTTTGAGATCTGAGTAAGGATGCCGCTCTTGTTTAGGAAATGCAGAAGAAAAGTAAAGTCTCAGTGGCTTATGGGCAGTACAGTACAGAAACCAGATAGGCCAAAGTCAAATATGAAGAACAAATGGCTGAAAATGTAAAACACAGTGAGGAAGTACTTCAAGATTAAAATGAGACACTCTGAGGTATCCAGGGCTGACTACTACTAAATGAACAGTAGGACTATGCAGACTTGGAGAGAGATCCAGCAAGACAGTTTCTAAATATGAGATACGTGCCATCTCAGTTGTTTGTTTCATCCAGAAATTTAATTTACTATTGTCAAAACATCAAAATTTCTAACAAAACAATCTCCACTTTGCATTGGCAATTAAATGCATTTCTGAAAACCCTAGGGATGGCTCCTCTGCCATAGAATGAATCAGAGCATATGCTTGAAACAATATTGGACCTCTATCAGAATCAATGATTCAAGACCCCTCCTTTGAGCTTTAGATTTCTGGAATGAATGGAGTTCAGGGTCTAAATCACTTCTGGTGGCAAATCCAAAACAGCATGATTTGAGGCCAAAAAGTTAAAGACAGATTTTGTGGATGTGGGAAAAGGAGGAAGAATGTGAGAATTCAGGAGATCTGGCAATACAAGAAAGTCACCATCTGTGCCTATGGTAAAGAAATTAAAGTTATTGCTTCATCAAGAAGAGGGTTTCAGGCCAATTGATTTTTCACAGTCCTCAAATTTATAAATACCTGATTAGTCAGGTATTCTATTAGCATTTCTGAAATTTTTGATTTCCCTTTCAGATTTTTTTTCCCCATGCTGGGGAGGCTGACATGGAAAATACCCTTTGTTGTAGATCAAGCTCTGCACAAGAAAGTTACAGCATGGAAAGACTGCACTGCCTAACAGCTGTAAATTGTTCAATATATTACAAATTCCTCGAGGCACAAGGGCCTCTGAGGTGATATACTAAAAAAAATTCCTAAGGAAAAAAAAGAATGCTTTAAATCATTAATATTAAAACAAACAAACAAACAAACCAAGTCTTCCATAAACAGCTAATTAGAAAAGAGAGAGCGAAGAGAAAACAGAGATCAAAGCATGTTTGCCCTGGGACAAATTATTTTTTTATTCTCAGAATACATTTTCTTCTATCTAGGAAGGATCAGAGTTTTTTGTGGTGACTTAGATAGTTAGTACTCCTGATACAGAAAAGCAGGAACCATGAGTGAGGTTATCCTTCAATTTATAGCCTCAGCAGTGGTACACACGCGTGTGCTGGAGTGTATGAAAACCTGTTAGCTTTGCTAGAAGTGTTTCACCTGTAAAGTGCTGAAACAGGGAGACTGAATAAAATGGCCATGAGGAACACAGTGAAAAGCAGCAGTTACTATGCTTTGCAAAATAACTACATTTCCCAGCAGCAGCCTCTTAGCTTTAACAGTGCCTGACAACATCCATCCATCCATCCCTGCTTCCTTGAAGAGAATTTTTCTGACTTTTGTAGGTAACTTCATTTCCATTCACAATGAAAGTACAAATTTCAGTCTTTCAGACACTTCATTTATTGGTCTCTGCAGCAGGGAGAAGAGTTCAAAACCAAGATGCTCCCCAAGCAATGGCTGCCTCAGTCAGCTGGTCAGTAAGTGAGGGTGTTTCCGAAAAAACACATCAGCATTGTGTGATTAAGCAACTATTTTTTCAGTACTCCTGCAGAGTTGGCCTTCTTTCTGCTTCATGCACTATCTTTAATAATCATACCAAAATGTCTTGGTGTTCCTAATACGGGCTTATCTTGTTTTATCCTGTATAACTGAAGTGGCACTGATAGTGTTTCAACCAGTAAACTGGAGAAGGCATGACAGCACTGTCCTGCCAAGGACAGTATGTTTTAGGACATTGATATACACAACTCACAATCGATGAACGTTTACTTTTTTACAACTTCTCTACCATTTTAAAGAAACATCCTAATTTTGGATTGTTCACTTTACCACTATTTATTAACAAATTATGTCAATATTCAAGCAGGGTAAATGGAATAACCTTGGATGTTCACCTGTGACTGCTCCTGGAATTCTTTAGACGTTAAGACTGTAACATGTACAATTGGTAGAGAGCTGATGGATGTTACTAGCTACTGTCAGCTGAGAAAGTTTTTATCAAAGGCATGAAATATTATTTGTCTTTTTTATGAGATTGTTGGTTGATAAATTTTCTGTTGACAACACAGACTTAGAAGGCTCTATTCTTCCCAGCCTCCTGATGAAAACATTAACTTTATATAAAATCAGCCTAGCTCACATTAAATTAAGGTCTGGCTAACTGAAAGACCACAAAAAGTAATTGCAAATGTGGAATTTTCACTAAGCAACTTGTTTCTAATGGGTAGAGATGGAGCGAGCAGCAATACTCCGCCTTGGTCTAATATAATTTGGTATCTTTCTGAATAATTGAGAAGAATATATAGTAAAAACTCAGGAAATTTTCAGATGAGCTGCATACTGCCAGAGTAGTAAAGGATTGAGATAGATTTCTACACGTCTTGACTTGGACTGGTTTCTAAGACAGGGGTGAGCTAACGTTTACGTGTACTGATAAAACTATGCAGCCCAAGTCTCAACACAGCCCTCCCCAGTCGCTGCATACAAGTCTAGGTCAGTATCTTGGAACACAACAGTACTGACAAAAATGTTGCTATGGTCTAGATACTCAGCTGTGTCAGACAATGCTCTAATTGAAGCAGCAAGTGCTTAGACTTACAAGTAAAAGAAAAATGAATTATAAGGAGGTAAGCAGTGTTACGTCTGTTTATGGCATCATAAACAGGTTTAGTTTTCCAGTTTAATTCAATATCAGGTTCAGCTCTGATGTTATACTTCAAAAAGGATGCTAAATTCTGGATAGCTACAAAATTATTCAATGTTTTTAAAAACTGTTTTTTAGAGTGAGAGAGAGCATTTATATCACTTGTGGGAAAGACAAGAGAACTCTTAAAAATGGCCTACACACATTTAGAACAGGAAGACATTTCTGGTAGTATTTGGATTTTTAATTAGGCAGAAAAAGGTCACAAGATACAAGCTAAATAAAGAAATTACTAGAAATACAGTGCAAATTTTTACTTATGAAGCTTAAGCACTGGAACTATCTACCTATGAACACAGTAAGCTCTCTACTACTGAAAGACTTTAAATCAAGACTATTTATATATGGTAGATGTTACATTTCAAGATATCATCACAAGCTGTCTGGAAAAGTGACGGAGTTACAGACTTTTGGCCTGTGTTATGAAAGGGATTCAAATGAATGATCATAATCATCTGATATAACCTTAAAGTTTAGAATACGCCAACTTTCAAAATACTGCTTTGAGGAAGTAAGATATTTGGAGAGTAACAGGGCATCGTTTGACCGGTCACTGAGTACTGCTTCAATTTGAAATACGTAGTATCTACCACTAGGCATCACTTGGCTTTTCTTGTTCCTTTGAAATATGAAGCAGTACTGTACAAATACTTGAGTAAGACCACAGTTCTTTGAACTACCCTTTTAATTAAATTGAAGTCTTTATCTAGCTCCAGGTACCATTTCAAACTGAGCTGCATAATTTCTCTCGATCTCCATCTCAACTGATCATAAACAAAGATCCAATGATTTATATTTACAACAAATTAAATACTTCTAGTTAGGCATAAGCTTCAGCAGTAGATGTTGGTAAACAGCAAATATATAGTGTGTATGTATCACTATCAAGATTCACGAGTGCTTAGAAGTAATAGAGGCAATAAATGATTACAATTAATGTGAGCTCTAGCTCACCATGCAGCCCAAGAGCCAGTTGCATTAGTGCGACGGTGAAAGAGACGTGGGGCTGGGAAGGAGCGGATGGAATCACTCCCAGGAGATGTTTCCATCAGCAGCGCCTATGAGAGAAATGTCACTGGAACCACAGTCTTCCTGATTCAGATGGGTAAGTCACATTTTCAGAAACAACACATGGGCTAACAGAGGTTTAAATGCCATTTACTTTTGATACAGATTATATCCCTGTGGGCCTAAAGCCTAGTGTCTACAGCACCAGAAGATGCAGACAGGATCTACCCAAATTCTTGAAAGCACCCAAGTGATTAACTGCTATTTAAAGCAATTAGCTTAAGTATCCAAAAAATTTTAAAACATCCAATTAGGCATTAGTACTTGGAAAACTATCCCTAAAACATTTTTGAAATAGAAGTTAAGAAGCAACGAAAATGGAACACAAACACATGGGTGCTCTTCAAAACACTTATATAGTTTTGAGCCTGTACTTTAGCTTAAGCAACCTGAATTCTAAAACACTAATGAAAAAGATGGTGTACATAATTGGTTAATTAAAGTAGTTTCATTAATGAGTGTTTTAGTGTTGTATCTACTATACTAATTTTATCTCAAATGCTTGTAAATACCTTGTTTGCAGTTTCTTTGAACGTGGAGGGCAATACATGACTTCAATATAAAATTGTTCAGAGCATGAACATCATACATAGCATCAAGACTTTGCATATTCTGCAGGAATATGTACGCATTTTGCTTCTTATTGGCAAAATTAGCAGGCTTATTGGTTGACTGGAAATACACATTAAAGTTTTCATTTTTTTTACTTGTAGAGTCTTGGACCACTAAAAACTACAGAGAAAAAACTCCATCACTGTGTTCTGGGAGCTTGCGTGAAGCTGCTAGACTTACATAACCCATAAGCCTGTCTAAGGCTATTTCCAGATGTTGAAAGGAAGGCCTTCTTTACCACAAAGACAGGATATGGGGCAAACTAGGAAATTTTGCAGAAGAAAACACTCCTTCAGCTGCAGCATCGAGCTAAAATTTCTATTTGTTGCTCAAAAACCCAAGATTTCGAAGTGTGAGGCTGAGGCTTACTTGTTTTTTATCACACAGCCTTGGTCATTGAGTGACAAGCAAATGGCATGGATTCAGCCATTCAAACTCCCAGTCTCACTGTTTTAGAATTTGATGCTACTTGTACGGAATTGATTTTTTTTTTCCCTCCAGTGAAACTTACTTTCATCTCCAGTTTCAAATTCAAACTTCTGGCTATAGCCGCTGTATCCTGCTGCCGTCCTGACTCTGATATGAAATATATACTTGGTGGCTGGCTTGAGACCTGTGACGATAACACTTGGAGCCTTGGACCTTGTGGAGGAATAGCTGAGCTGCTCATGCTCCTGAGGGACAAAAGAGGGGAGAAACGATATCAAGTTGAGTTGTACAAACTTTGCAAAAATGATACAGCAGAACTGAAGCTCCACATTCTTCTCATGAATGTAAAATGTGTTTATAAAAAGAGGTGCAGGTATGGATTTCTGTAGTTTGATTTTGTACTACAGTCACAATGTATGATATGGCCTTGACTTAGATTTAATTTTTTTCTCTTTTTTATATCTTGCATATAAACACATCACATCTTTGTGACTTGGGTTAGTAATCACACTGTAGTCAAAACAATATGGAATTAGTACAAGACTACATTCACAGAAAATGGCAGCTAGAATGGCAGCTAATTATTTTTGCACAATGAACAAACTAGGAGGTCAGTAAATGCTAGTAAGCTGTAAAGTAAAGATGTGGGAGTATTTAAATACCCGCTACTCACTTCTACCCGCAGGTAGTGCCAAAATGCCGGCGCTATCCGTGGGTAGACCTGTGGGTAAAAGAAAATAAAAATTAACTTTTTCTTTAAAGTCTGTAAACTTCTAGCATGGTTCAACTGCTTCACTGCTGTTGAACTTCACTTCTCTTTCCAGGTAGCTGTAATGTAGTGGTACATGAAATTCCCTTTCAAACTCTGTAAGGAGAAACACTCTCCACAAAAGTCCCCTCTTAATCTCCGAGCAGTTGATCCTGGGCATCTGCTGAGAATTCCTGACTCTTGCAGACATCACTGTGAATTGTGGTGTTGCAGTGTGCAGAAATCACTGGGAATTACCACCGTAGACCGGCTGCTGTAGTATGGAGACCAGCCACATTGACTGCTGCGCAAAAACTAAGTGCTGCTTCTAGACAAGTCATTGACAATAAATTTACATGAGGGGATGACTGACAGGTTGTTGACGATACCTTTACATGAGGGGATGACTTAAAAGAAGAAATGGTTTATTCCCTGTCATTAGTTACTATCACTTGATAAATCAGTAATCTGTAATATTTTATATGGTACCTTCAGGCTAGCTTTACTTCGTTGAAGCAGGATTTGTCTCCAAATTGACATATGAGAAGAAATGTCCTTGGCATATGCTTAACAATCCAACTGTGATACCCGTAGGGCACCATATACATTTCTCATACCATGCAGTAATATTTGAGTGTGTATAAGTTATGCAAAGGGTGCTTCCAGCCTGTTAAGAAAGAAACAATCTGGTTCACAGAAGAGAGATAACCAGGAGAATAACAGGTTTCAGCCACGTTCTGTTGAATTTTTAACTTCTTTTCAGCAGTGTACTCATATTTTTAATACAAAAAAACAGTTTTATATAAAACACGCTGGGTCAACTTCAGTCATGTCTGATAAAGTCACATTAGCACAGGGCAGAAGGTATACCAGTATTCCCCCAGTAGGCACACAAGAAGATGGCTAAGAAAACCAAATCAGAAACCTAATACACAACAATAACCTAATGATTCTGTTCCATGAAGGAGGAGAAGGAAGGCAACAATGACCAATATCTAAAATAATTGCACTTAATGCTCAGTTCAAACAGTGGAAATAATTTGAGAAATTATAGTAAGAGGAAGTATTGATTTGTTCTACAGTCTATTACCAAATTTTGAAACAGCAAGAAGTGTATATTTAAATTGATATAGTAAGACACAGTGTACATGTAATCTTACGGATGGAGACTACAACTAATATGACATCTAACAACTTCTGCAACTATCAGATTTCTCCCATTACCTGAAACGTTATAACTTCACTTTGAATATGTTAGTGGATTTTAAAAATACATTTTTTGAGAAATTGCAGAAAATATCCTTTTTCTTCTGACAGAAGGCCAACCTGTTAAGGTGACAGATTTTTATTTTTTTGCGATTAAGCTTGCTTCAACTTCAAAAATAGCATGTATTTGAGCAGTAAAGGTATAATAGGTTAATATCCAGTTTTGTAAGGAAACAGAGAACTCCTACACATACAGAGGAGTTTTCATACTACTTTATGGAAATTTCACAATCATCCAGTGTGTCACAAACGGCCAATTTCTATTCTGTAGCCTTGTTATAAGTGTGACTTCCAGGGACTTCCATGTGTAGAAGAGTCATGTAACTTAACATGTAAATTGACCAGGGTGTGCAATCTTGGAGAACACAAGACTTGAATTTATTTAGTTATGAAGCTGCTGGCTAGAGGGTGTACATTTCTGCCAGAACAGACCAAGTCTTTCAACACAAGCAAGTGACAACCTCAAAATCAATCGAAGAATTAGGAAAAAAAAACCCAACCCACCCGATTTTGCACTATGCTGAGACCACACTGAATTATAGGTATGGCCCAATGTTTGAGATCTTGCCTGGTAAATACAATATCAACACAAGACCCTGTTTCTGCACTTCAGTCCAGGTAAAGACATGACATCCAGAGAAAGAAAGATTCTGGATATGTTCATTAAAAGTTGTGTAAACAGTAAACACTTGTTTTATACAGGTATTAGTATGCTTCAGTTCAAAGTTTTAGTGAGTATTACATGCTCCATCTGTCATGGCCCAGACAGAAGTGGGCAGAGACTTTAAAATCTGGAATGCTCTGGAAATTTTTATTTAGGCTCTGCAATCTGTAAGATCAGGAGGAGACCAGCACCTAAGGGATTTCACTGTACGATGTAATAATTGCAAGCCATTTCCTTTCCCAAGACTACCTTGCTGCTTGAAATCAAGTTCTAAGCATTTAACAATTTACTGTTTTTTCTGACCTGCTGGAGAGACTGCAGAAATAAAGTTTCAGAATAATTTGATGGAATTGTAAAAAGAAATAGGTTCCTTCAGAGGAGGATGGAAATGGAAATTTTGTCAAAAATTGGTGGAGATTCCCCAAGATCCAATGACGAGATTTGCTCCCTGAAGCTTGCAGAACAAGGCCAATGGCAGCAAAGAACTGGGAATGACTTCTGAAAAAAAGCAATCTGAGCTGCATCTGTATTGTTCTATCTGTTATTACAGGCTAACTACCGCCCGTATAAAACACAGGATTTGGAATATAGTGACTCCCTAGCCAGCGATGTGGACAGACAGTTATTGAGTAAAATTATTTTTAGTTGGTCAAAGGTAATGAGTGTGACAAGGACTGTGATGATAGCATTTAATCAACATAATGGGTCCCTTCGTCTGTGTGGGCAGCTTACTGAGGGGCAGCCATCTCTGCCTGTCACTTCTGGGCCCTGGAAGGTATTTTGGTCACTTCCAAGGGTTGTCTGTCTTATCGCCCTCTCACCATCTGCCTGGGGCCACCTGTGGGAGGCCCTGAATGGTCCCATCTCTGTGCCCTCCCATCTTCTTTCTTCTTTCCTTTCCGCAGCCTCTTATGCCATCTGCCATGCAGTCAAAAAAACGAGGTCTAAAAGTACACAATCATAAAAGTAATACTGCTGTCATAAGGGAAAGAAGGTAGGATTTGTTATTGCAAGTGAAATAGGGGAAAGGGAACCCATCACTCTGGTGTGTTTGAAAAGAAAAAGCTTCAGAAGCCCATACCTGAGGAGAAAGTTGCTCAGAGTCCAGACAAAATGATTAATAGCTGGAAACTTCACATTGTTTCATGTGAATGTTTCACACGAAGAAATTGGCCTGTTTGGACTGGATTCCTACATAAGACAATTCTCCAAAGAGTGGATGCCTTGCCATTACTCCCTTCTCATGACAACAACAAGATCTTCAGCCTACCTGGAAAGCCAGAGCTTTCCGCAGAGAGACACAATTTGCGGTTGATGGGGGTGGCTCTCAAGGTTGGCCACTCCTTCTGCCATGATCTTTCCCAGGAAGGCTAAAGACGGTCTCAGGATAAAACAATACAATTCTAGTCTGCAGAGAAGCATGGGATGCTTTGTCTTATTCTTCCACATAGATAATATGCACTTATTTTTGCATGGATTCTGGCTTCAGAAAGTGAATTTTAAAATCCAGGACTTAAATATACTTCCTGGATGTTAGAGTATGCTTTTACCAGACCCTGATTTTATGCTGTGGCAAAATTTAGACATATATGAGCCCTCCTGCCATGCACCCTCATTTCTATTGAAAGAAAGCGTGATGTTGTGGGCCAGAAGGAGCCACAGTATGCTCTGTGATAGATCTCTGACCTGGACAGTGATGGGATGGGGATCAATGGGAAATATCAAGGAATACATCTGTTCTATATTTCTTGATAACTGCAGAAGACTACTACAAAATGTGCAAAAGAAAAGTTTCACTGATACGGCTGCGTTTCTCATTGCATGCAAGCAGTAGGTGAACTGCTGGACATTATATACAGCTCAGAGTTCATATAAAAGGAGAAGTACAAGAAATGCTCTGATCCTTCACATCAGTATCAGAGCAGCACTTGTGATCTTAGCACGGCATAGGACTCACAAGAAGCAGTTCTGAGAACACAGGGTCTGAGGGTTTAAATACAAGATAAAGCAGTCTATCATCTGATGTAATTTCCTTATATAACTACTGGTCAGAATCTGATATCAGTAAATTCGTAAGACCTCTTCCATAGCTGACCACAAATATATCTTGGTGAAAATCTGTGATTAAAACATAAATATAATCCATATGACAAGTGATGCCAATGTTATTACACAACGTGATACAGAACCTATGACCAGCTATCCAAGTTAAACAGAATTATAAATATTGAAAATGCTATCTCAATTTCTAAGGAAATTGTATTTTTTTTATTGTTTGTGTGATTCTTCTTATCACTGGATTCAGTTCTGATTATGAGAGACAGTGTTCACAAATCTATGACAGTTTGGTCTGTGCATGAACATGTACACCTTTCAGAATCAAACTCTTTCCTGTAGCCATCTCTGCCAAAATATCTGAATCTGTATCTATCCTAATTTTATACTTTGCTTTATAGTCAAGACATTTTTTCATACCTAAAGAAACAGATTGACTGAATGGAAGTTACAGTGGTGCTAATGGTCTAAGACTACAGAAATTGATTTAATGGAGTAGCAGGATCAGAGTGTAAAAAATAATGGAAAGCTTTCTGCTTTTGCAATGCACCAGAATAGCTGGATCTGTCCCATTAACATATGCAATAATGAAACATTTCCACTGCATGACATTTTCATATTAAATGATAAGATCTTTACTCACTGAAAGTAGCTATTTTATTAATGAATGTCATGTTCATTCAATATCCAGATGTTATATTATCATGATGACTATTATAATTTTTCTCATATGCTCAAAAAAGGGGATTCCCTCTGATGACATTAACACTTGCAAATAGATAAACCTCCACATGCCACACCTATGTGAACATGCTGCTCTCCTGTTTTATGCCCACCTCACTTCAGTGGGAAACCGCACAGAAATGAAGAATTTGTGCACATATATGAAATAAAATATTGATAAAGACTGACCAAAATGGGATGACCTTTTATCATTTTAGACTCATACTGCAGTCAAAGAGTTTACATTCTAATGCTATAGGTGAGA